CTTGTTGACATCATTTTCAAAACATTTTCTTTTTACTTTATAACAATACATCCATACATTGCGTCAAGCACACTTGTTGACATCATTTTCAAAACATTTTCTTTTACTTGAGCTCTTTTTTTTTCTTCAATCATTTTATTGGGGGCTCATGCAATGCTTAGCACAATCCATAAATACATCAACTATATAAAGCACATTTGTACATTCATTGCCCTCATCATTCTCAAAACATTTGCTCTCCACTTAAGCCCCTGGCATCAGCTCCTCATTTTCCCCCCTCCCTCCCTGCTCCCCCTTCCCTCAGGAACCCTTGATAATTGATAAATTATTATTTTGGCATATCTTACACTGTCTGATGTATCCCTTCACTCACTTTTCTGTTGTCGCTCCCCCAGGGAGGAGGTTATATGTAGATCCCTGTAATCAGTTCCCTCTTTCCACCCTGCCCTCTCTCCACCCTCCCAGTATCACCACTCTCACCACTGGTCTGGAGGGGATCATCTGTCCTGGATTCCCTGTGTTTCCAGTTCCTATCTGTACATCCTCTGGTCTAGCCAGATTTGTAAGGTAGAACTGGGATCATGACAGTTGGGGTGGGGGAAGCATTTAGGAACTAGAGGAAAGTTGTATTTTTTATCGTTGCTACATCGCACCCTGACTGGCTTGTCTCCTCCCCTCGACCCTTCCGTAAGGGAGTTGCCTACAGATGAGCTTTGGGTTCCTATTCCATACTCCCCCACATTCACAATGATATGATTTTGTTCTTTGATGCCTGATATCTGATCCCTTTGATGCCTCATGATCACATAGGCTGGTGTGCTTCTTCCATGTGGGCTTTGTTGCTTCTGAGTTAGATGGCTGCTTGTTTACCTTCAAGTCTTTAAGATCCCAGAAGCTATGTCTTTTGATAGTCAGGCTCCATCAGCTTTCTTCACCACATTTGCTTATGCACCCATTTGTCTTCAGCAATTGTGTCGTGAAGGTGAACATCATGGAATGCCAGTTTAATAGAACAAAATGTTCTTGCATTGAGGGAGTACTTAAGTGGAGGCCCAATGTCCATCTGCTACCTTAATACTAAACCTATAAATATAAGCATATAGATCTGTTTCCCCATCGTCATATATAAACATATTTACATATATACATGCCTGTATTTAGACCTCTATAAATGCCCTTTGCATCCTAGTTCTTTCTTCTATTTCCTCTTAGTTTCCTCTTGTCCCACTATCATGCTCAGCCTTCATTTGGGTTTCAGTAAATCCTCCCGGTTACATTACCCTTGTTCATGCCCTACCAGGCCTCCTACATCGTCACCACGGATTTGGATCACTTGTTGTTCCCTTGTCCCTGGGTTTGTCAACACCACTTCCTTTCCCCCACCACCCCCTTTCCCATGCCCCCCCCAACTGTCGGTCCCTCCAGATTGTTCATCCAGCCTATCTTATTTAGAGAGACCTGTATACCTGTTATAAGGTTATACCTTATAATCCCATTTTGGAGGAAGTTTTCTGCTATGCTAATGACAGGATTAAGTGGGATTAAGTCTCCACTTTAATAGATGGTGTGAATCAAGCTGTAATCACCCTTTGTTTCCTTGAAGGTACAGTCTGCTGAAAGACAAGAAGGACACCTGAAAGCCATTCCTCTGTGTGTAAAAGCCATCTAGAAAGCACAAAAAGACCCCAGGATCATTGAAAGAAGAGCCATCAGTGGGGCACATTAGAGATCTGTCTGAAGTGGCAGAGGCCGAGACCAGAGGTACCAAAGACTGTGGCATGCAAACAATGAGAGCAAAGGATCCAGGCCAAGAGCAGAGGCCAAGGCAAGGAGACCAGGAGACAGGACAGAGAAGCGGAGGTGAGACCAGTAGAAACTGTGAGGCAGAACGACAGGCAGGCTTCTGGGCTCACAGAGGCAGAAGACAAGGGACCACAGAGCTGAGAGGCAGAGGATCAGAGAGAGAGACTTAGCTACAGACTGAGAAGAGGTGCTATTGTGGACCAGGGACTGTATCCTTACTGTTTATTGCTCTTGCCTTGTTGGAATCATCTCTTTAGCAGTGAAGGGTTTTTATTGTTGTTTTTTCTGTAGCCTTTGTAGTTTTCTGGGTAGCCTTCCACAAACTTAAGGCTCAGCATTTAAAATTCTAATACAATCCCCAAACTCAAAGAACATTGAAAGAGAATACACTTTGAGTCCTTCAAGGATGCCCAGAGGGCCATTTTAACATGATATGAATGGAAGACTGCAGAAGGATTAGAGAGATGGAGACCCGCCTTCAGAAATGGGAGTAGAAAGCTGGTGGTTTCAAATCACTGACCTTGTGGGCTATGTCACCAGGGCTCTACTGTGAAACAGAAACTATACCTTTAATTTTGATATTTTTGTTTATTAAAGCGTACTATGATTTTAGAACAATACTTTCTTACTTTCAGATATACCAAATCAAACCCAATACCATCAAGTCAATTCCAACTCATAACAACCCTATATGATAGAAGTGCCCATGGGGTTTCCAAGGCTGTACATCTTTAAGGAAGCGGACTGCTTTATCTTTCCCCCAAGGTAAACTACCCACCATGAGGTTGGCAGGTGACTGCTTAATCAGTGTGCCATCAAAGGTCTTTTAATATTGTGAAAATGACATGGAGGCCCTATCTAACCTGGTCTGGCTTCCATGAGTGGAAATATACCTGTGGGATTCTGAGACTGTAAAATCTTTACGGAAGTAGGAAGTCTCATCTTTTTCCCTTAATGGGGTTGGGGGTTTCAAACTGCTGACTTTGCAGTCAGTAATCCAACTTGTGACCCGTTTAGGCCAAAGTGAAAGCTCAAAATCCATTTAGTCTCCACATAGATTTGGTCTCCATTGAATTCTTTCTGACCATTAACCTTTGCTCCCAGGCAGAGTGTGTGTTAAAGTGGATTATTACCACTCCCCTACTAAGGTGACCAGGTTTTAACACTGGTAAAGCGGGACACCATTGATAAAACTCACATCCTGGCGAAATAGCCACATGGCAGCCGAAAACCATATACCCTAGCTTTTCCCCCAAAATCTGGGCTTTTTAAAAACGCCGCAGGACATGGGACAAATTGTTAAAAATTGGGACTGTTCCACCAAAAGCGGGACGTCTGGTCACCTTACCCTAGATATAGCTCAGGCAGGGCAATCTCTCCATTCGGGACCTGGCACCTGGCTGGGTGTGTCCCTGATGTGACTAAGGTCACATGGTTATGAGAGGGCCCTTAACCAATCTTGTAAACTCTTCTGTCCAGCATAATGTAGGTGTCCCAATCACGGTCCCATTTCCACTTCTGTAGACCCATCTGCAACTGTGACATACTGACCTGTCATTTAATTTTTTTTTTCAAAACTCCTTCTTAATAAGCCCTGGTGATTGTCTTGAGTCCTTTGAGACAATCTATGAAGATCTTCCCCCCAAACAGCGGCTCAGAGCAGAGGTGATGGCTGATGGGAGGCGAGAGGGCAACCAGCAGCGTCCAGGGGAAGGGAAAGGGAACGGGGGTGGGGGTGGGGGTAGTGTGAGTCACTGCCATCCAGTCAGCTCTGACTCACAGGGCAGGGTACAACTGCCCATTTGGGTTTCTGAGGCTGTAAGTCTTTATGGAAGGAGAAAGCCTCATCTCTCCCAGAGCAGCTGCTGGGTTCAAACTGCTGATCTTGTGGTTAGCCGCCCTAGCCCTATGTGTAACCCAGTAAGCCACTAGCGCACCCAAGGTACAAGGTGGATGTTGGGGAAACCAGCCCCTCACAATTATAACAGGTTCAGTAGGCGCAACTGTACGGTTATGATATACAAAGATTATAGCAAAGTCACAGAGAATAGGAGAGATAGGAGAGAGGAACATAAAGAAGTTGGACGCATTTCATGGTGGCACGCTCACCTCGGCTCCTCTTGGTGGTACACGTGGAGGTGGGAGAGATGGCAGGCGAGAGCTTGAGGTTTTATTTCTAACCAAAGCTTATATATCTTTGGGGGCATGCCAGCCCTCTGATTACGGATAATGACCTGTGTTATAGGGTTTGTAACATAAGCAATACAAGCAAAAGGAGGGGGCTGACCTAGGAGTGTACACGCAATAGTAAAGGAATAGGGGTAAATATGTGGCAAGATGGGTGGACCCTAGATTCAATATAGTAACCTAACCTTAGTGGTCCTTGTGTAGTCCCGACCTTGCATTCGGGCTGCAAGGGAACAATCCCTATCCTTCACAGAAGGGAGTGGGGCCTACTTAGGGTGAGTCAGATTATAGTCTGGTTGCTCTAGATCAGGTGTCCTCAAACTATGGCCCGCGGGCCACATGCGGCCTGCAGAGGACATTTATCCCGCCCAATGGGTGTTTTTACCCCGTTTGTTTTTTTACTTCAAAATAAGATATGTGCAGTGTGCATAGGAATTTGTTCAGTTTTTTTTAAAGCTATAGTCCAGCCCTCCAATGGGTCTGAGGAACAGTGAACTGGCCCCCTGTTTAAAAAGTTTGAGGACCCCTGCTCTAGATGGTGGATAATCCTTAGGGAGAATAACCACCGACCTACTTTCGTTGACCTCGTGTAGCAAGCAGCGTCTTGGGTTTGGCGTATATTTGGGGGAGACAGCTTGGGAGAAATCTTTCTTTACCCCACAGGTGGATACTCATTCTCCTTCTGACCCCCACAGCTTGGGGCTAGAGCGTCTCAAGAACCCACACCGGGCTCCATTTATCAGCCTCAGACATGGATGCCAGGTGTGAGTCGGTAGCCAGCTAAACTGGGCCTCCCTCAAACTCGGGGCAGTCCTTAGGGCTTCTAAAACTTACCACTCACAACCCTGTTTTTCACTCAAGAAATTTGTGCCCGTCTAAAATTTTCGCGACGTCCACCTTCAGTCACCCAACTCGCAATGAGAATTACTAAGGAGCCAGTTTCGTTCTCCAACGAGGAGGACTTTGGCCCGGCGAGGCCGCCGTAGCGAGGGGGCGGGGCCAGAGGGCGAACATGGCGGCGCTGGACAGCGACGGCGAGGAGGATCTAGTGAGCTACGGGACGGGCCTCGATCCTCTGGAAGAAGGTACGGACCGCAGTGGGAGACTGCGCCTGTGGAAAACGGACAAGGGGTCTGTGGTTCGGGGGAACGTTCCATCCCGGGGGACAGGCGACGAGGGACACGGGGCCTGTGGGTCTGCGCACAGATGAGCGCTCCAGAGGGATGGGGGCACACCTGATGAAACCGCACGTGTGGGAACGGGGGCCGTCGTCTGGCAGGACTGCTCCAGGAGAGGACGTTCGAGCCCAAACGTGAAGCAGAAAGGACCTAGCTCCGTAGAGGGAACCGCAAGCGCAAAGACCCGGGGCGGGGGTGGGGTGGGGTGGGGGGGGGGAGCCCTGGATCGGACGAGTTGAGCCTAGACTGGAAACGCGCGGGGAGGAATGACGTCAGAGGGGCGCGCAGGAGGGCTGTCTTAAGAGGTT